TCAGTATGACTATAGCATTTGATATATGTGATGATTGTTACACATTGTGCCTATAATTCGAATTTCTATAGCTTTTGTATATCTATTAAATATTTATTGATTTTATTCTGCAATATTTCGATAGATTTTGAAATGCTAGATTTTATTAATATGAAACCATGATACAAAATATCTTATTACAAAGATGATCAAGTACATAATTTATAATGTTCACACACTATTTCAAGAACCTCTAGGGTGAAGACTGAGTCATTGACATAAACCGACTGGACAACTAAACCATATGAGAAGGGCCTGATGCCGAGCTTTGCTAGAAGGGCAGCCTCATTGCAACTTAATCACAGTGAATGCACAATGCTTGAGAGCGCCACTAAGCTTGATGTAGTTCTTCCATGGGTAAGGCAGAGGCCATGGACTGCTCTACTACACTCCAACGAGTAAAATTGGCGTTGATAGAAGGTGAGAATTTGTTGATTCCAGGCATGATTTTTGGATGCTTATTGCGAACATACTTCCATAGGAAATTCTCCTTATACTTCTTCTCTCCCTCTGCAAAGTTATCCAAAATTCCAGCAGCCCTATTCTCCTTGAATACTCTGAACGATTCAAAAACAAACCACTTTACAAACTCTGAATCCGAAAAAACAAATCATAATCCTACAAATTTCAGAGTCCAAACATCTTTGTTTCTACCTTCATAGTGAAGTTTGTTTTGTAACATCACAATAGGGTCACATAAACTCAATCTAATACCGAATTGCATTAACCATAATACGATACTGCCTACCCCAAGGAGCCAACTCACTAGATCAAATAGACATTGCTCCAATAACGCAACTTTGGCTTGTACTCAATCCGGTCACTGGATCTGACAAAGCAAATGGCGTTTCATAAATCTCCTGAATCATCAAAAAATTAAGTATTAAACAAGAACAAGTGATTTCTAAAACCAAAACGAATGTGAATTCAGAATGAGAGCGGAAAAGAAAACCCACAGGGAGAGTTC